ACAAAAACCCTTAGCTTTTAAACCTGAAATTTTCTTGTTAGGTATTGTACTGGAAAATATTAGCAAACAAGAAATGTATTTGATACTACATTTAATCACAGCAGCAAGGATTGCGCTTGCACAATACTGGAAGAGTGAGGAACTACCCACTGAGAAACTGATTTTAAAAAAGATTCTGGACTGTGCAGAAATGGACAGATTGACTCTATTATTGAAGGAGAAAGAAGATACTGACTTCTATCAAACTTGGGACCTTTTTCACGAGTGGCTGTAGAAATGAGACTTGGCTTAGATTTAAAGATGTCTTTAAATTTTTAGAAATCAATTTGAATTTGATTATAGAATGTTTAAAAGATATGTTCTAGGGGGCTGACAAAGTACGTCCGAAGAATTTGATGATTGTTTTTTTAGTTTTTAGTTTAAAATCTTAATTAAAAATGTGCAAAAAAAGAAAAGAAAGAGTGTGATTTTGAAAAACCCTCTCGAGAAGCTTTTCTGCCCAGCTCATCATTTCTGCCCATTCTGAACATATTGCAACCATCAAAATCATGCCAGGACACCTCTTTTTTCTAACCCTAACCCTATCCTTTGCACTCCCGTAACCCTACTATAGGGATAAAGTTCCATTAAAAAGAGGGCGATTTTGAAAAAGCTTACTTGAGTAGCTTTTTCTGCATAGCTCATCATTTCTGCCTATTCTGAATGCATTGCAACCATTAAAACTATAGCAGGACACTTCGTATTTCCAACCCTAACCCTACCATGGTGCACTCCTCTAACACTAATATAGGAGTAAATTTCCATAGAAAATAGGGCAATTTTGAAAAAGCCTTCCTGAAGTAGCTTTTTCTGCCCAGCTCATTATTTCTGCCCATTCTGAACACATTGCAACCATCAATACCATGCCAGGACTCCTCGTTTATCTACCCCTAACCCTTCCCTGCTGCACTCCCCTAACCCTACTACAGGGGTAAAGTTCCATTGTTGTTGTGGGGATAAGATGGAGGAGGAGAAATGATGTAAGCTGCCTTGAGCCCTTTGTAGGAAAAAGGCAGGCTATAAATTGAAATTGAAAAAATTGAAAAAGAGGGCGATTTTGGAAAAGCTTACTTGATTAGTTTTTTCTGCACAGCTCATCATTTCTGCCCATTCTGAATGCATTACAACCATTAAAACCATACCAGGACACCTCGTTTTTCTAACCCTAACCCTACCCTGGTACACACCCATGACACTAATACAGGAGTAAAATACCATTCAACAGAGAGCAATGTTGAAAACGCCTCCCCAGAGTAGCTTTTCCTGCACAGCTCGACATTTCTGCCCACTCTGAACACATTTAAACCATCACAATCATGCCAGGACACCTCGTTGTTCTAACCCTAACCCTACGCTGGTGCACTCCCCTAACCCTAATATAGGGGTAAAGTTCCATTGAAAAGAGTGTGATTTTGAGAAACCCTCCATGGAGTAGCTTTTCTGCACAGCTCATTATTTTGGCCCATTCTGAACACATTTCAACCATCAAAACCATACCAGGACACCTCATTTTTCCAACCCTAACCCTACCCTGGTGTACTCCTTTAACTCAAATATAGGGTAAAGGTCCATTAAAAAGAGGGCATATTTCAAAAAGCCTTCCTCGAGTAGCTGTTTCTCTACTGCTCATCATTTCTGCCCATTCTAAACACATTCAAAACATCAAAATCATGCCAGGGCACCTCGTTTCTGTCACTCTAGCCCCACCCTTCTTCACACCGCAACCGTAGTATAGGGCTTAAGTTTCATTGAAATGAGAGGGAATTGGAAAATCCTTCCTAGAGTGGCTGTTTCTGCACAGCTCGACATTTCTGCCAATTCTAAACACATTCCAACCATCAAAGTCATGCCAGGGCACCTCATATTTCTAACCATAACCCACTGATGGTGAACCTGTTAGAGACCAAATGCCCCAACTGCAACCCAAAACCCACTTATTTATTGCAAAGTGCCAACACTGCAGTCCAACCTGAAAACATAGTTTTTAGTTTAGAAAAAACATCTCACAGCCAGTTCAAGCAAATATATATACTGTGGTAACTTGGCTCACGAACGCTTTAGTTCACGACCAAATCGGGTCGCAAACAAAAATTTCATGAAAATTTTGACTTAGGTCGCAAACTCTACTTTGTGTTGCGGCCGCAATCGCAGCCTCTACCCACCGCACCACCGAGTGGGGAGATGGCCGCTATCGTGCTTGGGGTGGGGGGGGGTGGCCAAGATCATGCCTTTCATTCCTGTAGGAGCGCGTCCATGATTGCATCCATCTTTCCTGCAAGAGTGCAACCATGATCTCGGGTATCTCCCCTGCCAGCACGATTGCACCCGTCTCCCCTCCCACCCCGAGCGCACCCCCGTTCTCACCCATCTCTCCTCCTTCAGGGCACTGGGATGACGGGTGCCTGCACGGATGACAGGGATGATCGCGGTCGTGCTGGGGGTGGCGGGGATATGGCCGCACTTGTGCTCAGGGTGGGGTGGGAAGATGGCCGCAATCTTTGTTGTTCCTTTTCACTTTGCTTTACATTTTTCTGATAAAAAAAATAGTTACAGAACTGATTATCCTTATTTACATTGAACCTTATGGGGAAATTTGACTTGGCTCACGACCAATTTGGCTCATGACCAGAGTCCTGAAGCAGATTAAGATCATGAGCCAAGGTACCACTGTATATTCTTGGCAGTGCACTGACCGGCCATGCAAATGCTCAGATGAGTCATGGCTAATGAGTCGTGGCTTGTAACGTCTGACGCCGCTACTCCTTTCCATGCATTCGTATGGCCCCTATGTGCGCTGTTACCTGATGTTCGGCTGCTGGGATGATGCTGGGGCAAAACTTGGCTTGCGTGCCATCAGAGAGGACTCCGCGTGCCTGCTGTGGCACACGTGCCATAGATTTACCACCACTGGGCTACAGCCTTCATCACCTCCTGCCAGCACAGCCACTGACTTCATCATGCAAGAGGATTATCCTACATTATTTTTAGAAAATGCATGCTGAAAATGACATGGCACACATGTGCGCAGGAGTGGGGAAGGTAGGACAGTCCTTAATGAAAAGCACAATCCTCACCCTTTTGCTCAAAACATTTCCGTCTCATCACAGCCCCCTTGTAGCCTTTTAAAAGTAGTCAGTGAGGAGGCACTGCAGAAACAGGGGACTTTTGCACCCTAGCCTCTTGGAATTAGTGGAATGCTTGCAGCAAAAGTGCCAATTCTGCCACAAGAACACAACGAGGGAGTCAGCAGCACACTGCACCTTCTGCCCACATACACATGAAATGTATGTTTCGTATCTTATGGTGTACACAAGGTTGGCTTATGCTGATACCATTTAAAATAATCTTTCTTGAACAAGCTCAAATGTTTCTTAAGTAATTTTAAAAAGCAACATGCCCTTTATCATTTTTTTCAGGAATGTGTTGATTTTGAAGACTGTGCATGGCAGAAAGCAAAACAATGTTCACTGGTACTGCTGAGAGACATTTCTTTAGAGCCAATGATATGCTTCTGGCTGTACAGAATACAAAATGACTGAATCCTCCCAAGGCAAGGATAAGTAATCAAGAACCAAGAATAAGGAATGAGGTCCAGACTAGAAAATCACAAGGCAATAGAGGAGCAGCCAGTAAGGAATGCTTTATCTGAACAGGGGGAGTGATGAGGGAGGTTCTGATAAGAGGAAATGGCTGCTCCAAGCATAGGGAATAGCAGACAGACAAGGAGTTTTGAGGAAAAAACTGATCAAGAATTGCTTGACAGCAGGTGTGAGTAACCTGTAGCCCATGGACTGCTCTGGAACCCAGGGAAGACCTGCCCACTTTTCCCTACAGCCCAGCTGATCAGTGGGGTTGCCAGGAAAAGGCTGCTGTTCTGGTGCAGTGCTGCTATTCACAGTGCCAGAATCACACCACCACTCAGGGTCACTACAGAACTAAAGGAGCCTTTAGCTTCTCCACCCTCAGTAACTCCAGCTAAGTGAGGATACCTGCCTCCCTGCTGCTGTGTAGGGAGGACTGACACAGGCCTAGTGATGGGCAAAAGAGTTCTGAAGAAAACATAAAGGGTAAGCTTTGAAGGAAAGCCAGCAAGGATGCATTTGCAACATGGCAAGGACTAAGAGACACAAATGTGTCCAATATTAGAAAACAAGTTAGAGATGCAGAACTGAACTAGCACATTAGTCAAGCTAGTTTCTTATTTGATTTACAAATACATAAAGTGCAAAAACCAGCCTGAGCATCATTTGTACCAATGACTTAATTACAACATCACAGGTCACAGCAGAAACCCATGTTTGTATTATAGTTTTTAGACTGTATTTGCCCAGAAGATTAGACATAAATTTCAATCATAATAGTACTTATACTAGTGACAGTATAATACTATTTAATACTTAATAGTAAATAATAGTGCTTAGTAATACAAGATTGCACATTGTGGAAATATGGCATCATATACACAAAGGTTAGCAAAACTGTAGCATTTTATAGTCTGGAAATTAAAAACAAAATACACCAAGGATATGGTACCTGTCTATACATTTGCAGACAGAACACTAGCCAAGGGCTCATAACATTAAAAGTTATGAGCCCTTGGCTAATGATGGTGCTTTTGTACAAATCTTTGTCCTCTTGGTCATATAGAAAACCAAATATAAAATCAATGGAAGGTGTGATCATCACAGCATGTGTGTTGTGCATGGATGTGCTATGCCTCTAGACTCAAGGGGTGATCCTATCAGTTCATCGAGACTCTTTGCCACAACTGGTGCAGTCTCTTTAGCTCTATGTACGTTTTGATGCTTCATTTCAATATCACTTTGGCACCAGCAATTACTAAACTACTTGTTTAGAGTGGCATGATTTTGTTACTGTTTGTGCATGACTTCAGAGAAAAAAGAAAAAAGAAAGACACACAAGTCTGTGTCACACATTGGTGCAGTATCCCTGTACCTAACCTCAGCATGAAGTTCCAAGCTCCGTTCCACAGTATCAGCACCCAACATAGCTTTCACCTCGAGCCTCTCACTGGGTGCCAATCGTTCTTCTATCATCCTCCAGAGCGAGCACACTGGCTGCATGGACTCCCCAGATGCACCCGGCAAGGGCAACATGGAGGCACTGCTCAATTCCAGCACAACAGTTTGATCCTCTAAAAGGAGAAAGAGAGATGGTGCAGATGAGACAGCAAACGGAAAGTGCAGAGGACCCCACCAGCCGTGCATGGCATGTTACTCTCCCACGGATTATTTCCAGATCGTCCACAGCAAGAGGCGGGTGACGAAGGACACATATATCCAGAAGGCCTTGCTAAGTCCCATTAATCCGGGTAGCTAGGAAGCATGGTGCCGATTTCTCACTCCCAAAGCGTGCCCATCTACCTTTTCGGATCCACTCACCGCTGCAGCACCCATGATCTCCCCTTCCTTTGACCCGCCTACCAACCGCCCCAGCAGGCCTAGCTCTTCCCCAGATATTTCACCCCCGTCCCGCCACTCTTTCGTCCGCAGATCCACATGCACTACTCTGAGCCCTTACATGCAGCGCCGGCAGGAGAAAGGAGGGCGAGTGGGAACCGGCCGCGACGAGCCTCCTTCTCCCCAAGTCCTCATCCCCTCGCGCCGCCGCCTGCTCTCACGAACATAAACTCACCGTCTCCATAGAAACGCTCCACCCCGTCCCTCGGAACCCGCGCCTCTTAAAGGAGCCGCACCCAGGAGGCTGACAGTGTGGAGAAAGGAACCCCGGGAAAGCGAGTGGCAAAGCTGTCGGAATTAGTGCGTTACACGCGCGTGCACGTGTGTCTGTGTATAAAATATGTAGGGCGGGTCCCACCGCACCTAAGGTTTGACAACACAATTGATCAACTTCTTCCGCGGTCGGTCAATGTTTGTAGGAAAGAAAAGGGGGCTCTAGAGCCGCGTGCGCGCTCTGAAGGCTATGGCGGCTGCTAGACTGGGAAGTGAAATCTGACTTCGGAGGAGATGCACTAAAACGAATGGGACTTGCCTCGTAATTTATTTTCCCCCCATTTGTTTCGTTGAGTCTGCTCTTAAGTAGAGCAGCGTCGGCTGGAACCCTGTGGAGAGGCGCCTCGTGCAATATCGGGCTGAGTGCTACTGCTCGAGGGGAGCTGGCTGGCCAGGATCAGGCCCTGAGGACTGTGCGGGGGTGGAGGGGGAGGCTGACGGGGTTCTTAGAAAGGGCGGGGGCGACGCGTCCGGCCCCTCCCCCCGCCCAGGTTCTGCCTGCCCCGTTGGGGAGGGAGCGCTGCGCCCCTGGGCGGGCACGGATCTCATTAAGGGCGGGCCAGGGCAGGAGGATGAGGCGGCGGCGCCACAAAGACCCAGGCGCTCTGTAGCTGCGGGCAAAAGCGGTTCCCTGCCGCAGCTTCCGCAAGTGCCTTCAGGCGGGACCCACCGGCCGGGTCAGCCTGCGAGCCTGCTTACCCCACCGTTGCCTCTCCTGCGCTCCGCTGCTCCACTCCCAAGCCTCCCTCCCAGCTATTCTCCAGGAGTGGAGGGATGCCCTTTCCGCTGGCATGGCTGAGCTTGGCTCTGTTGCTGCTGCTGCTGCCGCCCCTGCCAGGGCTGGCGGGGCCAGTGACTACCTGCGATGCCAACGGGAGCCTGTACTATGTGGGCGAGTGGTATTTCCTGGACAGTGACCACTGTACCCAGTGTGAGTGCACGGCCGAAGGACCAGCTTGTGCCCGCACGGACTGCACCGCGCTGCCACCTGCCTGCATTCACGTCAGCCACTACCCCAACGACTGCTGCCCCCGTTGCGAACGGGTCGGCTGCGAACACCGCGGGCAGGTGTATGAGTTGGGGGAGCACTTTCAGGTAAGCTTTCCGTCCACATGAACACTAGGCAAAGAAGGGGCAGCGGGTGGGACGAACAGAAACCCGCAGCAAGGTGGGTGGGTGGGTGGGTGATGGTGAAGCAAGAACCATGAATGTGAGAATCTTAACTCAGTGAATCTTGCTGAGAAAGGAACGACTTGAGAACCACAAAGCTCCTTCCCTGTGAATTTTGTTCTCAAAGGGAGACATAGGCAGGACAGCAAGAATCACAACCCAACCTGTTTTCCATATCATTTCATTATTTGGCTGAAGCAAAAGAACATGTGAATGAAACTGAGAAATTGTTTCTGAACTAGTGTGGCTGGTGGTCTAGAGAGGTATGTGAAATTTGGAGGGCCTATAAGATGCTCCCTGCAAGTCAAGCCTGTTCGACTGCCCTAAAGTCATTATAGTTGCTCGCTGCCTCCTCGGACCTTTCCTTTTTATCTTTTTCTTAAGTCTAACACCAGCCATTTCAGCACCTTTCTTCTGGTTGTTGTCAGTCATGGCTAACATTGTATTTTAGGAACTGAGTCAGACCAAAGAATTTCTGGCATGGTGAAGCAGTGCAATGGGGTGGTGGGGGGGGGGGGAGTTTTTGGCACAAAGCCTGCACTAGCCTAAAAGAGTCAGAGCCTGCCCCAGAGGCTGCAGGTGGAAGATCAAAGCCTGCTCCATTCCTGGACTCTGTGCATTTAGGGTTTAATGTGTGCAAAAATAAGTGCATTGAAAACAGCCAGTCCTGGTAGCTAGCCAAACTATGGGCAGGAGGAGGGTGACCAGCATTTCTAAAGGAATTGTCTCTGATATCCAGAAGCCCACAATGACCTGTGTCCTATCTTAGAAGACTAAATATCTCATACCTGTCCCATCTATTTGCTTTTTCTTACTTAAATTATTTGAAAGGCAGAGATTCAGAGATGAACATCCAGAGGCTAATTTGCCTTAGCCAATTGCTTCACATTCCATTAATTCTCCACTCCCATGCTAAGCTATAATAATGGCCATATTTGGCTGATCCATGTCCCAAACTCTGATGTGTGGATACAGAATCACATGGATATCCCTTAACACAGCAACTCCTGTACCCAAGATACACAAGGAATACATTGCACAAGGGTAGATAATGGGGTTTGGATTCAAGTGCATTTTAAAACATGAGAGATCAAGAAGAACTTTGATTATGCCTGAAAACTTACAAAGGCACATACCAGGAAGTGGAAATGCTAATCTTTATACATTCACAGTAAGAAAAAGGCAACAATTTGCCAAAGTAGTTGTGAAATATCATTTGAATTTTTAAGAAGATCCTAGATAATCTAAATATCATTAAAAAAGAAAACGCTGAGATTATGCCCAGCTTTCTGATTCTATATAATAGCACTGATGTGCAACAAGTGTCCATTTGAGCAGCCTAATTTAATGAATTCCCAGACCTGATCATCACTCATACTGGAGGTGTGAATTCAGACAACCATCCTATTGTTTTTAGACAGAAAAAAATTCACACAAGAAGGTAGAGGATGAAAAATTTCCCCTTCATTGGGAATGCCTAACAGAAGGAAGGGGACAAAGGGGATGAACTCCAAATAGAATCCAAGCCTAGGTGGGATCATGACATTGATAACTGCTCTCCTATTTCATTATTAATAGTTTGGCTTGGTTCACTAGGTTGTGCTAGTGAATAGCTCAAAGGCCCTGATTATGGCATCCTTTGTTGTATTATTTTAAGCAAGGGCTTGATCTAGTGATGAATTTTTGGAGGGCTTAGTCCCTTCAGTCATGGTCCTTTCCTGTGCATTGGGATTCCTAATGCTTCCTCTGTCTTATTTCAGATGGTTTTCCTTCCACCCACATATTCCCGATAGGTACACTATTTTCACTCATCAGCCTTTTCTAATAATGAGCAGATTTCTCCAGGGCTCAGCCACAAAGAGAGAGAGCACAAAGTAGCAGTGCCTCAGGAGAGATCAAGACTGCTTTATTTTTACATAATCAATCAGGTTTGGGATGAGAGCACCCTCTGATGGTGTAATCCTAGTACTGCCATGGCCATGTATTCATTTGGGAATGCTTCACGCATTATGAAAAATGGTGGACCATTGAGCATAAAAACCTTGCTTGATTAGACCAAGGGTCCATCTAGTCCAGTTACCTGTACAAAGTGGCCAAACAAATGCCCATGGGAAGCCGACAAGCAATATGTAAGAGCAACACCATCCATGTGCATTCTAATCTTGTACATATCATACGTAACACGTAACCATTGCTAACCTTATCTTTCTTGAATTTGTCCAATGCCTTTTAAAGTGGTTTAAGTTATTGGCCATCACTACATTTTGTGGGAGCAGTCCCTAATTTAACTACATATTGTGTGAAATGCTTCCATTTATACATCCTGAATCTCCCACCATTCAGGTTGATTGGGTGACCCTGGGTTCTAATGCATAATTTTGTTCAGCTCTGTCCTGCTATCCTAAAATTATACACCATTTTTCACAGACTCGCCATTTATGATACTTGAGGCAGACAAAGATATGCAAACATGCAGCCAAGACCCTCAGTAAAACAATCTCTCCAGCATGTTCCCCCCCTGCTGTCTCCCTTTGCCTGCCTTTTCTGAGTAACAGAAAAAGCCACAGTCCATGGTGACACACTGGGAAATGGCAGACTCTTATCTCCTTTGCAACATGTCTAACAATCCTTGCACCGATTTGTCCAAAGACAGCTATGGCAAAACTCTGCAAGGACAGGGAATCCTGGGGAAAAAAGTGCCAGCTTCATCATCATCATCATCATGTGCCTAACATGGCTGTGTATGTGGAAATACAGCTAAAGGCTGCCTAGCCACATGGACTAACCTGTGTCTCCCACAGCCCTCAGAGTGTGAGCAGTGTACCTGTGACCTGGATGGCATTGCCCGGTGCCTAGTGGCAGACTGCGCTCCTCCCCCTTGCGTCAATCCCATCTATGAGAAGGGCCACTGCTGCCCCACCTGCAAGGATGGTAAGAAATGGAGTCCATGGAATAGAGGATAGATGGGGTGGGGATACTCTAGTCTCCCTCTTTGAGATAATGAGGGTCCCTCACCTAACAGAGCAGGGGAAGGGAGAACTTAGCCCTGGTCAAGGACACTTGCAGGCACTTTATCAAAATGGAAGATTCTGTCCTACGTCCTGCTGTAATGGGAGCAGCTTTCTACAGAATGGAAAATACCTACCTGATACAATGAAATAACAGCCCCCAGACTATACCACAGAGTGTGGGCTCAGGCAAACTCCAGGTGAACTCAGATTAGGGAGCGAGTACAGGATAGAAGTGCAGTTGCCAGAGAAACATTCTCTCTTTCAGAGCTTCCCACCATGCCTGTTCCTAGGATTCTATGAAACTTCTGCAAGGGAAATGTTGAGCAGATTCTAATACACACTCATGTTTCTATAGGACCCAACTGCTATGTGGATGGGAGCCAGCACCGCATCATTCCTGCTGGGCAGAGCATCTGGGTGGGGCCCTGCACCCGCTGCCGCTGTCATGATGGCCAGGATGCTGGCTACTGGGAAGGAAACCGCTTAGCCAAATGTGAGCAGCTATGGGGATGCCAGGCTACAGCTGGACATCATGCCTGAGTTTTATCAAACTTTGAGCAGTTCTTCAGCCAGTCTTCGATCCCCTGAAGTCTCAGATCTTACAAACAAGCCCCTCCAGCCAGATAAAAGCTTAGCCTCCAATACAGGTCTGCAGTGTTTTCCTAGACATATCCAAGCACTCTTTCCTAACCACAAACGCTCCAGCTGTGTTGGACTGCAACTTCCAGCATTAGCACCAGTGCAGTCCAACCCAGCTGGAGGGTGCCAGGTTCAGGAAGGCTGCTCTAGAACGTGGGAGTAGCTCACTGGACAAGTAGGGTTCCGGGCCCCTTGGAGCAGAACCCCTTCGCATTTCGGTTTCTTTAAGGAATCACTCCCCTGACTCCCACCCAAGACTCTCATCTGTTCTACTCCAAACATAGCATCTTCTGCAGAGCCCTTTGCCCTTGAACAGAATGCATCTGTGTGGTCCTGGAACACATAAAAATAAAGAATCCTTGTGGAATAGTTTTCATATCTTTTAGGCTGAAACTATGCATGCAGCTTCCTTAGCCAGAAGCGCCAGCCTCTGGTGCCGGTAAACAAGATGAGTACGTGGGATAAGTTGCAACTATGTTTGGGAGGAGTTTTCTTTAATTCTACAATTTGGGGCTTGCCAAGAGCAGTATGAGGAAGGGAAAATGCAGGTGGTGCGAACCTGCCCTGTTGTTTTGACCCTCATTCCACCATTCCCATCCAAATTCTATACACAAGAAGTCTCCAAGTTTTGAAACTTTACTGAATACAAAAGTCTGATCAGAGTGATCAGTGCTGCATTCACCATAGGCTTGAAAAGGGATCAAAACATTCAAATGTACAAAAGTCACCAACATCTGGGCTGTGCAACAGACTGGTGCCTGGCTTCAAGCCTGGCCCAGCTGCCACCCCAAAGTAGACAGATGCAGGAGATTCTGCCTGCCAGGCACCATAACCAGAATCGAGGGACACCAGTGGCTTTCTAGCTCGAGGTACGAGGCACAAGGCCGCCATGTGCCAAGAGCAGCCAAGTCAGACCCAGGAGCCTGGCCTGAGAGGGTGGAAGATGGCAGCTGGACAAGGAAGGCGGTAGGAGAGGTTGAGGGCAGGTTGCCTTGCTGATGCTGGAGGGCTAGTAGGACTACTGGGTAAGGCAGGGTGGGCTGGTTGGGATGGTGGTGGATCAGGGGAAACAGCAGGAAGCCAACGTTGCCTTCCTCTGTTCTGTAGTGATGGCCAGAGATCCATAGTGCCTATGAAAAAGAGAAGCAAGCCCACCTGGAGTAGGCCAAGACACATCATGAATTCACCTTGCACAAAGGGCACTGTACTGCCCAACCAACTCGCCCCATCCATAGGAAGAAGAGCAAACATGGCTAGGAAGAAGCACCTGTTGCACCCCTTGCCGGACAGGCTGCATGCCATACGAACCCAGGAAGCACTCAAGTATTCTAACGAGGGTTTGTATAAAACACCCCTGCATTACTGGAGCCAGCAGGGACATCCAGGACCCAGCAGGGGACAGCACCAAGCCATGAATGGAGGCAGGCAGTAGCTTCTCTTTGGATGGAGCTCTCCTCAACTGAGAACCACCTTCACCTCTTGCGAGCTGGCAGTTGTCATGAGACCAGGCCATGCCTTGGAAGGAAGGCTCAAAAGACAGTGGTCTTGCAGGCTGTGAGAGGAAGCAAAGAGCGACTATTGTACTTCTGGAATCCTTATGGGACACACCCTGTGAAGAGTCCAAGGGGAGGTCATATACAGAGTCAAGAACCTGCCCGAGGCTTCCTCTGCTCTTGGCACCTTCCAGCCAGGAATGGGGCTTGGCTGTGCCCAGAACTGCCAAGTCCTGGGCCAGGCACAGTAACACACTCACATTCATTCCCCAACTTGTGAAGGGCACTGTGGAGAACAGACTGGTGATAAGGAGATGGGCTTCAGCCAAAGGCTGGGGCAAGGCAAAGATGCATTCTTGGCCTTTTCCCCCATCCCCACAAAGGAGGCCGACACGTCCTCCAAGCCAGGACACAGTCCTCTGAACCAGTCAGGGCTGGGATCCACACAGCTCCTCATGCATGGGGCCATGGGCCAGGCCAAGCAGCAGAAAGTCAACCCCGAGGGGGGCGTGGTGGTGGTCTGCCAATCTCCACAGTTACATTGGTGTACATGGGACGGCGAAATGTCTCCACCAGGCGGTACTGCAGTGAGCCGATGCCATCGCGTTTCATGGTCACCTTAGTATTCTGGATCTTTGTGAACCTGCCAGGAGAACCAAAGAAAATCTCACCTTATAAAGCTAGACAGTTAAGCTAACTCCGAGACAGTTAAATTTATCAACTATTCATAAAATTAATGAAATGGAAGATCTAACAGGACCTCAGGACGTTAGAGGGATTCCCAGTTTGTACCTTATGATTATTGAGGAACATTGTATCTATTTCTATGTAACTTTCTCCCCATAAGCAAAGCACTTTCAGATCATGAGCTCATTTCCACTGTATGGGATTGGCAGAAATTAAATTATTTGCTCTGCTCTGAACACATGGAGAGGGTCACTGTCCACAGACCTTCAGGTGAAATGTCTCAGCCAAGACCTGAAAACATAGGAAGCTAATTTACATGGAATCTGACCACGGGTCCATCTAGCCCAGTGTTGGCAACACCAACTGGCAGCTGCTCTCCAGGGTTTCAGGCAGGACTTTTATTAGCCCTACCTGGAGATGCTGAAAACTGAAGCTGCTACTTTGTGCATGCAAAGCAGGAACCCTCCCACTGAACTACAGCCCCTCAGACCTGTGGGAAGAAGCTAACATGTAATGATGATACTCCATGCTTGGAAGGCACACTGGGAGGCTGGAAGATTTAGGATAGTGACACTGAAAGCACTAGGGCAGACAGGAAGTTACTCCCCCACCTCTGTTTTCAAGTGAGCATTTATGTGCTGCTTATAGCCAGTCTCATGAAGAGGTGGGAAGATTCTTGCCCTTAAATAACCCAGAAAGCAGAGTACATGAGCTGCTAGGCATAGCATGCCTCTGCTTCTAGATTATGGACCGGCAACTTCGTGAAGTCCCAGGACCACAGGTTTGCCCTCCATCACACTGGTGAAAAAGCCCCAGGTTTTTTTAAGAGCAAGAATGCACCAGCCCAATTTGCAGCTGTACCCTGGCCTGTTTTCTGGAACACCAGAAAAAAGCTGCTCTTTTTCTTTCCACAGTGACAATTTTTGGCTGCAGAAAGGGCCTGCATGTTGCCCGTCCCTGTTGTAGACAGTAAATGCTAGTGCACAGGAGCCCTTCATCATCATCAGCCATGGGTTTGATCAAACGTATCTGGTGCAGGGCAGGGATTCACGTTTGTGAGAATTGGAAGGAAAGAGTGGCAGATGGCAGACTTGAATGAGGGTGGAATTCAAAAGAGGAGAACACACAGCAAGGGAAGACAGTGAGGGGCGCTGGTGTCACTTAATGCTTAGAGGCTTAACATGGTCACTATGACACCAGCTTCTGTTGACAAAGTCCACTTCATCCTAATGAGTTTGTCACCTTTAAGGGTCGCAGGATTCTTCACTCTTTCTGTTGCAACAGACTAACATGGAGATAGTATGCATGGCGCACCTCTCACCTTGAGCTGTGCCATGTGTGGCATGCAGCAAAGGACAGAGGAACTTGGAAAATGAGTCTTCTGCTGAAGAGGGGCTTGTAGGTTGTATGTGGACTAGAAGATGATGCAGAGATTTGTGGAAGCTTGCCAGGGAGCAGGTAGGGAGGCAGCATGCATACCCTCTCTCTTACCGCTGGGGATTGGGCTCGTTATGCCGGTCACGCTCATGCTTGATCATGCGGTAGCGCCCAATGCGGGCATCAGGACGTGACACCTTCATGCCATTAAGCGAGATCCTGTGCAAAGAAAGAACAGCTGCTCAGAGATCAGCCAACAGGTGGGTTTCAAACAAGCCTTTTCTCTGACCAGTGTCTAAATCCTTACGCTCCCTTTGTCATGCCCATCCGCCACCCACTTGTGGTTTTCAGAGCTACAGATCATGGATACAAGTCTTCTATTTGGCCTTGTTATGGGTTGCTGAACAGCTTCCTGTCTGTCCCTCTTCTGCCAAGCTTGGGAACGCAGTTACAGAAGAGGGAGTTGTTTGCTAGCAGCTGTCATTTGCACCATTGACCCACCCCTGCCAGTCCGCATATTCCCTGCAGACACCACATAAAAAGACAAACTGCAGACTACACGGCTACTGCTACTTGGCCAGTCATCCCAACCTCTCACGCACCGGTTAAAGATGTCGTCATCTTCCCCACCCCAGCCCCAGTACTCATTAGGGAAGCCATTGATCTTCAGAAACTGTGCCTTGCTCAGGCCAGAGACACCTCCAAAGTAGCCAGAGTATGGTAGCCTGGAGGAGACAAGCAGGAGAGATGGGAATCAGTCATACTAGGAATGGGTTCAGGACCTCAGAACATTAATGGACCAAGCCAGTCCTGCTGCAATCTAAAACCATGCTTCTAAGTGAACCATGTGATGACAAGTACATCATCCATCGCTCCCACTATACTGTGCCTTCCCTAAAGGCTTCCCAAGTTCCTAGCCCCTTAGCCCGATCTTCACCATTCTGGGGCCCTTCAGATGACTTGGACTGCATAATACATAGACTGGCTAGAAGGCACAACTTTGGAGAAAGTTGTCTTAGCTGAACTCCAAGATACCATTTGATGCACACTGGCCTTTTGATCTGATCTTGCCTTGTTTGGCAGGTAAGAGACCCCAGCCAGTCAACCTGTAAAATACAAATTATGCTACCTGTTTGTTTATGTCACTAATGCATAGGTGTTGCAAGGGTGTATTCCATAATGCTGTATCACAACATTGCTGGAATGGTTCAGCAACTCACATGAGAGGCAGCAAAGAATATATCATTTGAATCACAGAAAACCTGTAAATGCTTTACAGAAATATAAAGTGGGGTCCATGGGAATGAGAGATGCCCCATATACTGCATTCAGGATGAGAGGTATGTATTACTGCCTCCAAGCCCCCACAAGGCTCAGACCACAAGGAATGCAATAAACCACCCTCTGAAGGGGAAACACTGGAGAATCTTCAAGGAAGATTTAGGTGCACTACACTGGAAAGACAGGATGTGTGTGCAAAATGATCATATCCTTCTCACTTTCTCCCTAAGGCTCTAAACAGTTCATAAGGGCTGCTGGCATTCCAGAAAAGACTAAAGTACATGAAGATCTTCGATAGCAGACTAGGGGAAGACCTCTGGGCAAGATCTTGAAGAGCTAGTTTTGAAACTAGTTGCTGGGCAAACACAGCAGGAACCATGACATGTTGGCATCACTTAGAATAAGATAACATCAGCTAAGCAGGTCATTGCAATCGCGTACTGCAATTCTCAACACAACTCAGTGCAACAGAGCACATTTGGGAAAGAGGCATCCAGTCCATTTGCTCACTCACCGGAAACCAAATTTATCCATGGCAACGGCAAAATGCCGGGGCTGATCGTAACAGCGATAGAGATTCCGGTCATCCATGGGTACAAGATCAACATCACTAAAGATGAAGCAGTCATAACTCTCATCATCTCGCAGGGCTTCCAGGAAGCCCACATTCAACAGTTTTGCTCGATTAAAGGTATCTTCCCCAAACTGTATGGAATAATAACCAAGGAAAGAGTCATCCCAACTGTCATGTTACTTTTAGATGCACATTTAATATGCTTCTTTCTAGTTTTTTCCCCCCATTATAAAAACCACCCTGGATTCCATCTAGCTGTTTTTCTAAAACTGTTTGATCTTCCTCAATTGATTTTGCAAAGCACTATCTGCTATATTTCAGATCAACCATCATATCTGACAGGAGGCCTGAAACTTTTCCAAAATGAGGAACGAGTGAGAAGCATTTCTCTGACACTCCACACTTACCCTTAAGTGCAAAGGTCATGGCCCATTGGTATCTCACAGTAAGGAAACAAAAGCCCACAGCCTGCTTCTCCCAAAAGCAGGAAGCCTCTACTTCAGGGATGGGGAAGTAGAGGACCACCCTTCCACTGGGACGGTCTGCTGGGATCACATGCAAGCTGTGGACAAGGAGAAGCCAGCAATGGACAGGGGCCAATACCAAAAATGGTCCTTTGATGCTTCTCTTTTTTCAACACCTCCCTTTCCTCTCTCTGTCTGAGACCCCTTTTTTAGTCTTTCTAATACCCCCTTTTTTCTTCTTTCTCTCTTCCCACCCTACTCTCAGTCCATGGGGAAGGGACAAGTAACTCTGGTCAATAAGGATTGTTTCAGGGTGCTTTTGAAATTAGATTGAGGGCCACACAGGGCCACAGGTAGATCATTTCTAGTCAGAGTAGGTTTCCATGAAGCATCATCTTCCTCTCTCACGTTCTTCGTGGACAGTGCTATGTCCTAAGCAAGAGATGCAGCCTCCCTTTCAGCCCAAGGGCCAAATTCAGTTCTGGGGACACTCTCAGGGGCCACCTTCCAGTGATGGCCAGGACTAAAGACAAAAGGAAAGGGCCAAAATGCCACCATAGCTTAGCTTCAAGCTCTAACTGTTGGTACTGAAGCTTTTAGAAGAGGCACTTCCACCTTTTAGAACAGAGGGACTGCACAAAAACTGGGAAGTCACCATAGGATTGGGGGCAGAAAGTGGGAAATACTTGAAAAGCAGTAAGGGGGCATGGCCTTCTTGGGAACCCTGGGGTTGGACTGCAACTCCTTGAAGGCCAGATCTGGCTCCTGGGCTCATGGTTCAGCAATTCTTCTATAAAACATCTTGCTCTTGCCTGAGTCATCTCTCCCAGCGTACCTGATTAATGATATAGATGCCGTAGGACACCTTTTGGCGCCGTAGGATGGGGTGCAGGTAGTGCAGCCAGTACTTGAGGTGGTGCTCACGGTGGCGGAAAGGGATGAGGATGGCTACCTTCTGGCGAGGCACACAGTCTGGGGGTGAGTACTTGCCACCTTCCTGCACATCTGGGTTCTCCCGCTGCACCCTTTCCATGCTCATGGGAGAGCTGAACTCAATTAGGAGCCGGCCCACTGCAGGAGAAAACATTCCATTTTCTATGTATCAGCCTCTGAAGTAAAGTACAGCCTCAGGGCTTACACACCTCTAGGAGGCTGTGCCACTTTTATTAACCAAGGTGGCAGGGCAAAGAAATCTTAAGAACCCAAACTTATCACACCTGCAAAAAAGCAGCAAATAGTCAAAATATAGTTAATGCAATCAAGACTTTAGTATATATGTACATTTTTACAAGCTGATTTGCTGTAAGCTGCTCAAGTGATTCTGAACCAGGCAGGATTATCAACAGGCACAGAAATTGGTGCGGGGCAGAGTGCAGTCACATACACAAGGCTTGAAGGCACAACTGGTATTCTTATAATGATAGGACCCATTTCTTAGGCAAGGATGGGGAGTATAATCTTTGACCACTACCTTTTTGGTGGAGAATGGGAGGACAGAAAATGTATGGAGACAGGAAAGTAGAAGCTACTGAGAGGGAGAGACTGGAAAGGGCAGCCAGAAAGGCAGGGAGTTGTCTAACGTGGGAGTGGGCACAGATCTCCAGACGTTTAGTTCTTCAACTACTCACCAGCATAGCTAATGGTCAGGAATTAGAGTTGAAGTCTAAAACACCTGGAGATCTACTTTCTTCCCACCAGTAGTCTTAAGGCAGAAAGATTCCTCTTTGTGACCACTGAAAATGTCACTCAAAGCATTCCTTAATTAAATCTTTCAACAAATGTGGCCCAGATATTTTAAACTGTGCCTTCACTACATGGCTAGATTTTTGGGGAGAAGATGAGGGTCCATGATTTACAACACCAAGTTTGTTTTGCAGATTCCTAGATCTTGCATCTGATGCCATATTGTAGTGACATGAAACAGAGCGAGACCAACAGGTGACAAGTGGGGAAAAGAAACAGGCAATAGGTGCAATGCTGGCTCTGAGGGCTAGGTACAAGATAGGCAAGGCTCCTCTGCAATCTCACCTAGGCCAGGAGGCATCTCTGGACAGGGTGGTAAGGGCTTCTCGGTGATGGTGCTGTTGCTGCCAACAGTCTTGGCACTCGGGACCAGGAGCTCAGGGCCCAAAGGCCCAGCGGTGCTATTAGGCCGAGAAACATTGACATAGGGTAGAGTGCGGGAAGAATTGCGGATGTTAAATCGGCTGAAAAAGTCCAGACGCTGGGCATAGACATCAAAGTAGAGGATCATGATGATGAGGAAGTGCAGTAAACATAAGAGCAGAACAGCTTTGCAGATCCTCTCCAGGGTCACCCCCACCAGCAATCTGCTCATCTTCTGGGCACAGGCCAACCAGCATCAGGGGGGCACAGCGAAGGGGGCCCCGACCCAGGCTCCGAGCCTATTAGGAGAAAGATGAGGGAATCAGGAAACACAACTTCCCCACAAACACCATCCTGCAACAATATCAGAGGCGTTCCTTTAAGGAGTCATCAAATACAGTTCCCTCCATCCTCCAGACCAATCTGAGTGGCATTTTCTGGTGAAAAGACAACCATACCACCACTATTGTTCCGCAGAATGACTATGCATGCTTATAATATGGATATTGATTCTAACCTAGATAGAGGAGCTCTTTCAATCAAATAACTCTCCAGATGGTCTAGCTCCCTCTATAAAGCAATACTGGCAGTGGGTCAGAAGGAAGCCCAGTCCAAGAACCAAAAGAGGACATTATGAAAGAAAGGGCACCTCACTTACCACAGTGATATCTTAATCCTCCTGCCCTTGACAGCAAAGATGAAGCAATGGGAGATCTCCCTTGAGCACTGGGAAGGGGACATGTAACATGGAGTCAAACCAAGAACAGTGCTGTTCCAGAAAACCACGACAGGCACTGCGTCCCTTTCCCAAGAAGCAGGGCCTCCCTTATCTCTCCAGTGACAGCTCAGACATTAGGCAGACCCAGCCCTGAACACTTTATGAACAAGACAACCCACCCAGACACGGCCACTCTCATATTTCCATATTCAGGCATCCATTTAAGCCTTTAACTCCTTCGAAGAGACATGGCGGCTGAGGGAGCAAGCGCATGCATATAAGGTGATGCAGACAAATCACCATTTCTTAACAGGAACGGAGCCAATTCTACAGTATTTGGAAGGAAATGCATCTCAATATGACTAAGAGGGCTGTTCTACTTTCACTTTGAAATCCTGCTGTCCCAAGCAGTGAGACCTCCATTTATGCAGAAGGCAAAAATGGTAAGCTGCAACTAAGATTCCATTGCACATGTGTGGAGAGTGTGTGATCCTCTTGGCAGGATTCCCTGTCACTTTTGGCAATGAATTTGCAGGATAATGGCAGAAAGTAAGCCGGACAATAGACTAGGAGTTTCCCAGTCTGCTTTTGCCTCAATCTGCCTCTTCTCCTACACATCAGCATCTCTGAATAATTTGTCCCTTTGGCTATCTTTGGACTTGTTAAAAGGTAGGAACTGGGCTATTCACCCCAGCAGGAAAGGGTTAGATGAAGAAAGGAGCTCACATAAGAATATATTATTGCATAACATACAAGTCCATTAAAATGAAAAGTTTCATGGGACTCACTACCATTGCTGAAAAGGAACTAGGTTCAAGTGACATTACTTCAAGCAACATGGAGAGGCACCTGATTCTCAGCTAAATCCAGAGGAAAGTTAAAAGTTGTTTCATACAGGCAAATAGTGGGCTGGTCACAAACCACATGTCATGTCAAATAGCTGCATATACAATATATTTGCCCGCATCCCTTCCCTGAATGAAAGCATTTCCTTTCTTTGAGAATAAAACAGTGGAGTCTTCTATACCCAAGCGCTACAGAGCTTTCCACAACCATTGAAAATGGACAGGAGGCAATGCCTACCTCCCTATCTGGGTATCATTTCTCCCAGGGAAAAAAAAATATACAAGAAAGGATTTAGAAGCAGTAACTCTGTTCAAAAATGTATTGCCAAGGTCACATCTCCAAGCTTATTTCATAGTAAACCGCTGATCAGCACTACCATCTTAGCCCTTTGGCTCCAAATTCACAATTATTAGCTGATTTACTTCACTAAGGTCTAGTTCCCATAGATGAAATTGCAAAATGGCTCCTAATCTGCAATACTTAATTTACAGGTTGGGGGGCATGATTGAAAGCTTCCCCATGGAGGTGGTGCAGAGGAGGGAATCCATACGAGTACATGCAGAAGTTTTCATGTCAGAGCAGACTTCCCTAAGCCGGTGCTCTCTAGATGTGCTGAATTAGCGGATGGTGAATGCTGTAGTCCTGTACATTTGGAGGGCACTGGGCTATGGAAGGCTGTGTGCGGAAAAACATATAAATTCCCCACTTATAGAATATGCTTATATCAACTGTAAACTAAGAGACTGATCAGATGAGGCAAAAACAAGAACACCAATTCTTGAACTATAGACTAACTTTTGCACTATGTAGATTGTGCACACAACAGAATGGAGTAAGGATTTAAAGAGGCCTCTCCTAATTTTGACTTTCTGGGTGCAAAAAAGCCTTCTGCATTTCCAGGACACAGGAAGGAGGGTCCAAGGACAAGAGGAGCTACATAAACATGGATGTGCTAAGCATGTGGCATCACTGCCCAGTCAAGTCTTCACAAATTTTAGCTACTAGTACTATGGCATACTCAACAAAGGCTACAATGGAGAGAGTTTAATAGCGGAAGACAATAAAGCCAGCAGTATCCTGATGAAGCACTGGAGGAATAAAGCCCCATTTCAAAATTGCAGAGGCTTTGCACTGTACTCTGCAGCCTTGCCAAACTCACTGCCTGCATCACAGTTGCACAAGAGCCATGTTCCAGGAGGAAGCTGGTTGCTGAGGATATCATGCCTGCATCAGGGCCCTGTAGGAAACCAAGAGCTAGCAACAAATTGATCACCTTTGCCTACAGACACCACAGGGCCAATTTCAGAAATCTCAACTGCAGCTGTTTCTTATGATGTTCACCAGAATGGCATCCCAGTACGCTTTCTTGAACCTTCTGGAGAAACAAACTGGCCTCCCTGAGACCATCAAATCACTACAGCAGAAAAGAGTCTTGGTGAAGCTAATTCATAAAGCAGGAGCACCTTGGCTACTGTCTTACCACTTGAACATGATCTGAAAGAATCCTCCCAAATAAGATAGAGAAACTAAACAGTGAAGGGTTAAAAACACCCAGGTCTCCCTGTGCTTTTCCTGGCAAGAGCCTCCCACTCCTTCCCCCTTAATTAAATATATTGCTGGATATCCCATTGTATCAACAAAGTACAGGCATGATGTACAAAACACAAGTTAAGAAAGCAGGAGAGATGGGCTTTTTACAGTGTTAACAATCCACTAATGGAACCAGGTTGCAGCTGGGCTGCCTCCATGGCTGTGAATAATTTAACTGCAAATTCAGTCCTCTGTTCTGTCTGGTGATCACCAGAGAGCAGACACCAATGTTTAGCTAATTTGTTGGCATGTTGAAAAATTCAGATTTTAGCTGAAGTCAAAAATACAGCGGCGGGTCATAACATTCCTAGAAAGCCCTACCTTGTTGACATATGCATTTCAGATGGTTACCTTTTGGAAAGGTACAGTCCTGTAAGAATAGGGGAGTAACACATGTGGCAGAAAAACACAGGCAGTGTGGAACCCTCTGCTTTCCAGACACACAGCTTTCCAGGCTATCTAAGGATACAACAGTCTCCAGGGAAACTGACTCTGACCAGGCACTGTAATACTGGCTGTCTTCCTCACATGGGCTCTCGAGGGGCCCAAAGGCATTTGGCTTGGGAGAAACCCACGGCAAGTAGCAAAGCTAGGAAAGGTAAGCTGCTAGCACCCAAGTCTTTTGGTACATCGATTGAAAAGCCAGCAACAAGGCCATTCTATTCTATATGGAGCACACAGCCTGGTAAATGCTCCATTATTTCTCCTTCTGTGTTACCTTCACTAGGAGGCCCCTTGCTCCTAAAAGCAGCTGCCCCTTCCATTTTCTTAAGAGAAAGGCTGCTTTGTTTCCCCAGGGATTTCCCCTCCTGCCTGGAACAGGAAATCCCCTGTCTTGTCAAAAATGGATAGGGATAAGGATCCCAAAGTGATCCTGCCAAAAACGAAGAGAATAAGCCTGAGCAGCAGATGCCAGAGCTCACTCCCACTCCTGGGTGGCTCAGCCACCAACCCCAGCTTTTCTCTGCGAGGAGAAGCGCCTTGGGAATTGTGCAGGAGCCATCTTGGGGGAGGATGAGGGGGAGGGCGGCTGGCTGGAGGAGGGGCTCGAGTGTGAACATCTTAGAGACACGCACAGAGGCACACCTTTACTCTCACACACATACCTGCCTGTAAATACGCATCAGGATATAGCCGTATACTTCGCAACACCCATTTACCATGCGCACTCAAGAACTTGTACCCCTACCAGCGTTCAGGTACACCTCGGTTGGACACCTATGTACCGATCACAACGCCCACTTTGCCCAAGAGAGTCATCCTACCAAAACACAGCCGAGATGCCGAAGGATGCGCCCGTCTGGGGATGCGCTCTGGATTCCGATGGAGGAGCGCAGACGATGGAGCGTTGGAGAGGTTCGGTGCGGGGACCAGAAAGACAGACATGCTTGAAACACACCCAGTCCCCTTCTCCGGCGACAACAAAAGGAGGGTACCGGACTGGAAAGGGGGAGGCAGGGCACGGGATCTTCCCCAGCTCCTTCCTGCGCCGCCGTGGCTCGGCTCTCTCTCCCCCAACCCCAAAGCTCCAGGAACCGGTTTAGTTCTGGCCCCCCCGCCCTCTCGCTCGCTCACCGTCTGCTCGTTCCCGGCTGTGCCCGTACGCTCTTGGTGCCGCTGTCTCTCGGCGCCCGGGCCGGGCGGCACAGGGGACGGCGCGGCGATACCCGCGGCCCCAGCCCAGCCCGGCCCGGCCTCAGAGCGGGCGGCCGCTTGGCCAGCAGCAACAGCGGCCCCTGCGCCCCATCCCGGGCAGCAGAGCGGAGCCGAAGCGGGCGGGAGGACGGGCTGGCGGCCAGACGGGGTAGCGGATCAGGCCTGCTTGGGCGCGCCAGAAGTAGCTCCGCCTCTTGCACACTCACTGCCGCCCGGGCCAATCCCCTCCAGCCATTTCTACCAAGGCCGCCGCCGCCGCCCTCTTCGGCCCCTTTTAGTGCAACAGGACTGGGGCTCCTCTCCAAGAAGTCACAAGGGAGATGATCGAAATCTGAGCGAGCGTCCTCGAGATTGGAGGAGTTGTAGATTCATCACCGGATCTCAGTCCCAGTCACCGGGGAGGGGGGGTGCAGGGGGGTTCCTGATCGTGCAACAGGAAAGGATCCTTGGAAGCCACCCATTCATGTCACACGTACGCAGCCCGAGGAGACGCGATGGTGATGAGATTTTCTGGCTGCAGGATCCGGCAGGGCTTAATTGCGTGAGAGCGCTGCTTCACATGAAGCAAGTTCAGTCCTGTGGGACGCATTTTCAGTCTTCCGCTCGGGCGTACAGGAACACGCAGCAGAGAGTGCACTTAAGCGTATAAAGAGCGTCTACCCGCTTTCATCCCTGTAATGAAGAGGCAGCTCTCCCAGGTTCGGCTTAAGGCAGGCCACAAACTTTGGGCCTCTTCATCCTGCTGGAAATTGAGCACTTCCTTGGTTAAAAAGACACGCAGAATATAAAGGGATAGAAAGCCATTGCCAATTCTGAAAACAGAAGGGGCATTATCTTGGTATTCTGAAATCATCGCAGTTCCATGGGGCTTTACTATTTGGGCCTTAGACGAGTTGGCAATCATCGCTTCAATGTGTGACTGCTAGCCTTTGAGATCTCATGTGACCATGGCCTTCTCCAACACAGTTCTCTTTGGCACGTGGTACAGCAGAACCAGATCTAATCATCCTTTTGCACATGGATGAGGTGTACCACTAACTAGTCCTGGCTTCCATGTTTTAGCTTGAAAGTGATGTAGCCAACATCAACAGAGAACTTGGTCCTACGGAGGAAATGCAATGAAGAGGGAGGTTTTGGCCTTCTTCCAACCTGCAGCTCTGTAGAATTAAAGGGAATCTCACAGCACCCTATAGGGAAAAAGGGGAAAGCCATTCGGGGTCCCACTGTTTCTTCTCTGTATTTGATCGTCAAATAGACAAGCAGCTGTAGGTGGGAATGACTGGAGAAGTGCCCCCCAGCCCCAACGATAGCATTATTGCAGTGCTTTATCTCAAAATGGTTTTGCAGACTTCTTCTCACATAGCTTTCTGGGCAGAGTTATAGCTAGAAATGTTGAAAATGCCTGAGAAGCTTTCTTGTCCCCAAAGACTGAATGGGGTGATGCCAACCCCATTAAGGGACCCATGAAGTGTAAAGTCATAATTCTAGATCAGGTAGAGAATGTCACCAGCAAGGGATAATTGCTGCCTGATTTCAAAGTGTTATCTGTAGCGAGGGATCCTTGGGTTTTCACTGGGTATTTACAAATTAAGCAGATCTGGGGAAAGGGAATAGACCATTCGGGGCCTAATCCAGGGAAAGCAGAATGCTTATCAGATTCCAAAATGGGATCAAGATGTGTCTAATGCCACATTGTTCAATACCCTTTATTTCTAATATTTGCACACTGCCATATCAGTATGACTTAAGATCTTAACAATATAATGTGTGAAAATATATAAAGCTACAAGTACTGCTGTTCATTATCCACAGTACTCAGGCACTAACTGGTACGCAGTTTCCCACATTTTCTAGGTATGTAGAAAGCTGTCATTGCAGACCATGTCCAATAAAGGTGTTTTGCTTCCCAGGCAAAATGGGTTTTCATCTTACATATCATCTTATTGTAACTTGCTATTTTGGTTCAAAATAAAATATCTCTCATCCATGATTTAATTGTGAATGAGGGGGCTGACCTGGCATGCATTACAGAGACATGGCCAGGAGAAGGGGGGCGTGTCCCTCACCAAGTTGTGCCCGCCCAGGTATCTGGTGCAACACCAATCCCACCTTCAGGGAAGGGGAGGGGGTTTGGCTCTAATTTGCCCAGATTCAATCCCCTTCGCAGGGCTTCCTGTCCCTTCAAGACCAGGCCTAAAGTGTTTGCACCTGGTGCTCAGTGATCGAGGCAGATTAGGGATTCTGTTGGTGTACCGTGCACCCTTCTGCCCATAAGACTCCCTGCGTGAGCTGATAGAGATAGTCTTGAACCTGGTGTTGAGGACCCCCAGGATGTTGGTCCTGGGGAACTTCAATTTCCATGCTGAGACTGTTCTGACCAGGGCAGCTCAAGACTTCATGGCTGTCATGGCAGCCATGGGGCTGTCTCAACATGTCACTGGCCCAACGCATCAGAGAGGCCACACTCTAGACCTGGTTTCTCAACGGGACAGGAAGATGGTGATCTGGAAATAAGGAATTTGACTCCAACCTCTTTGTCATGGTCAGATCACTTTCTTGTGAGGTTTGAACTCGGGGCCAGTTTCTCCCTCTGTAAGGGTGCAGACCCTATTAAAAGGGTCCACCCCCAGAGTCTTATGGATCTGGATGGTTTCCTGAGGTCTCTGGGGGATTTTCCAGCTGATAAAGCTGGTGCTCCTGCTGATACCCTGGTTGATTTGTGGAATGGGGAAATGACCAGGGCAATTGACACGATTGCTCCTAAGTGTCCTCTCCCATCATGCCAAGCCCACTCAGCACCCTGGTATATGCCTGAGTTGCGGGTGATGAAGCAAGCTGGGAGATGATTCAAGCACAGGTGGAGGAAATCCTGGGACAAATCTGACCAATCACAACTTAGAGCTCATTATCAAGCCTATGCTGTGACGGTGAGGGCAGTGAAGAAGGAATTCTTCTCTGCTTCCATTGCATCCTCACAGTGCCATCCGCTGAGCTTTTTCAGGTGGTGCACGGCCTGTTACATTCTGGCCCTAAAAAGGATCCTATTGCATCATCCATAGCTTGCTGTGACAATTTTGCCCAGCACTTTAAGGATAGTGCTGAGGGACTATGGCTCTGCACCATGGCAACTTTGCCATGAAGTTCCACAGGGTTCCATTTTGTCCCCTGTGCTTTTTAACATCTACATGAAACCACTGGGAGAGGTCAACCGGAGCTTTGGGCTGTGGAGTCATCAGTATGTTGATGACACCCAGCTCTACCTCTCTTTTACATCTAGTCCAGGTGAGCCAGTGGCTGTCCTTAACTGGTGCCTGGCCAAGGCAATGGGCGGGATGAAGGCCAATAGATTGAGACTTAATCAGATAAGATGGAGGTCCTGTTGGTAGGCAGTTCAGCCTTCCAGGCAAGTGATTTTAGCCCTGTCCTGGATGGAGTTGCACTCCTCCTAAAGGATAGAGTTTGCAGTTTGGGAGTGCTCCTTGACCCAGAGCTGTCCCTGGGGTCCCAGCTTTGGCTGATCCACAAACTGCATCCTTACCTGGAAGAGCATTGCCTGGCAACAGGGACGCACTCTCTGGTAACTTCCTGCTTGGATTACTGTAACATACTCTATGTGGGGCTGCCCTTGAAGATGGTCCAGATACTTCAATTGGTTCAGAACAGAGCTGCTGGGATGTTAACAGGAACCGGCCAGTTTTCACATATAATGCCAGACCTCTACTGGTTACACTGGCTACCAGTTGAAGTCCGGGCCCAATTTAAGGTGCTGGTTATGGCCTATAAAGCCCTAAATGGCTTGGGTCCGGGATATCTGAAGGAGCACCTTCTTGTCTATGTGCCCTCCTGCCCCTTGAGAGCTGAGGTGGAGGCCCTGCTCCAGGAGCCCTCCTTGAAGAAGATTAAGAAGGAGAGTACCCACAGGAGGGCCTTCTCTGTGGTGGCCCCCGACTATGGAATATGCTCCCCAGAGAGGTTCACCTGGCACCGACGTTATATTCTTTTCGGCATCAGGCAGGCAAAGCCCTTTTTATTTTCCCATTATTTTAATGTTTAATTGATTTTAACTGGGGTTTTAGTATATTAATGGTCATATGCTGTGGGGTTTGTTTTATTGTACTTATTTATTGTAAGCCATCCCGAGACGTTCTGTAGGGGATAGGATAGAAAAGCTTTTAATGAATAGAATAAAATAAAATAAAAACTTATTTGCCCAATTTTCTTTTTTCAGCCACTCTGTACAACACTTCTGAGTTGAACTGAAAACAGTGTTTCAAATATTTTCAAGTAGCTGTACAATTAAGTTGTCATAAGGGACAGACTGGGGCAAAACAGTCTTCTTTGGAGGGGTAAGGATAATGCTTTGAAAGGGAGAGATTCATGAGAAACTTATGAAATCTGAATTCTAGACTTTAGTCATTGTAAATGCTAGTAAGAGTATTCATGTTTAGAATGCAAAGCATACCTTATTCACACATATT